TAAACTAGACACCTATATAGATCCTCGCAAGCTTAGACTATAAGAGAGGGAGGGACCTAATATTATAGTAACCTTAGAGGCTACCTAATAAGCATGGATATACTACTAGTAGTAGTATATCTTAGAGATATTACACGCTGGTAGCTAGTTAATAGATTATTAGATAGGTGGCCCGTCTACTAGCTAATTAGTTAAAGCATGGTACTAGCCACCCTTAGTAAGGGCATATAATGAAGCGAGAAGATAGATCTATGCTAGATATAGGAGAGGATTTTTTCTCCTTATCTAACGTCTTATACCTACACATAGATACTAAACGTAGTATATTAATCTAGCCTACCTAGGCCTTAGTGTTATAAGGGGTTTCCACGTACCTAACCATAGGTTCGGACCTTGCGGGTATTTAGTAATTCAAGTATAAGGGATAGTGGTACTAAAGAGGTTGGGTAAATATCCTATACTATATAATAGTATAATGTAATAAATATTAAAAGAAGGCTAATAGTTTATATAAAGATGAGTGGCTTTAATTTAGATATAAAAGTAAGCTTTTAAAGTTGACTATAAAGAATAGAAATATTTAAAGAATATCTAAGACTATATACCTATCTTTCCATCCTTTATGGTCCTGGTCTACTCCCTTGCCAACGTCTCCTTAGTGGGAGTAACCTTCTCCTAGAGTATCTTACTCCCTTACTAATGTCTCCTTAGTAGGAGTACCTTCTTGCTCCCTTGCTAAGGTCCTCTTAGCAGGAGCACGGTCACGTGACCACTTATATTAATATAACTAGGGTGGTCACCTAGCATTCTTTAGTGCATTAGCCTCTAGGTCCTTTACTAGGTTCTTCCTGCATATCACCTTTGTCTTCCTATAGTAATTCTATATAATCGTAACATTATCCCCCCTTTTTAGGGTTATTGTCCTAATATCTTGTTATGGTCTTGTGACCTATTATGGCGGCGTTATTAGGTAGTATAAAGGTAGGCGCTTCCCTAAACCTACTAGGACCATTATATCCTCTACGTCCTAGCCTTCCTAACCATGCCTAAGGTAACCAAGAACCCCATTCCTATACTAAGGACGGATCCTTTAGTACTAAAGAAGAACTTAACTACTTATTATTATTATTAGAGCCGTTATTATTATTACCCACGGCACTAGCCATAATATAGTTGGTAGCCTAGAAGATATTAATATGCGCCTAAGCTGCGTCTAAGTAATACACCCATAATAATCTCTAGGAGAGGAATAAGCCTAGCTAAACCCTCTAGGGTAGTAGTAATGCGGCGCTACTCTATGAGGATAAGGCCTAGGTACTAAGGGCTGGTGGTAGGGACTTAAGTGGCCATACCTATAGGAGTGCCAGAATGAGCTATGATGCGCCTATAATTATATAGCTCTAAGTTAAATTACTTCTAGTAGCGCATAAACTTTAAGCCTATATACTAAATATTAGTATTAGCCCTACGCGTAATAGCGCTAGTAGGGGTAGTAGTAATAGTAGTAAGGTAGTAATTATAGAGCTAGTAGAGACGATTTAAGTAACTATTAAGCTTATTAGGTACCTATAATAATTAGCTAAAGCGTATATATAACGCGCGACTCTAAATAACCTACTAAGGTGTAGCCACTATAGTTTCTATCCTTATAGTACTTATAGTAGCGTTCCTTAGTCTTCTTATAATTATTAGGTAGCTTAACTAAGTTCTACGCATAGTATATATAAGTTATAACTATAGTAACTTAGTCTATACGCTTTACGGTATTACTCTATATAAAGTTATAGGTATTGTAGAGGGCGGTTTTCGTGATATACTTAGGGATAGGGTAGTGAACCATAATTATAAATTATTAAGCGAGTCGCGTACGCTTTATAAGTAGTGTTATAGTATTAAGGAGATGTTAAGCGTGAGACAAGTAATATAAAATTAAAATATAGAGGGCTTATCTATTTATTATTACTAAGGCTATAGTAAATAGAAGGTATAGAGTCTTTACCATAATAATACGCAACATGCAATTACGGCAGGCACCATATATAGGCAATACGCCATTATAGCATAGGTAAAAAGCACTACTATAGACACTCTTTTCCTTTCCTATAGGGTAAGGTTTTTATCGAGGCTATAGTATGCTGCTAGGGACTATAGCTAGAGGGGGAGATTCTGTAATAAGTAGATCACGAAGTTTATTATAGTGTTATGGCATATGGCACTAAGGCCTAATAGAGTCCTAGTATACTAAGTAAGTTGGCTACGTATACCCCGCGCCGCACACCGGCTTTAGGGAAGTTAAGTATTATTTACTTAATGCCATTAAGTCATCCTTTCACTATCAATCCTAGCGTGAAGTAAATACTATTG